TGAGGGAAAATAGTGTGAAAGTAATGAACCAGACTGGAATTCGAATTCGAATAAATTAATGATATGCTTATTTTTTAGTATATATTTCTATATAAAAACATGTAAATCATTTTATTTCTCTTCCAATGTTAATATGATTTTCTTTTCAGCATTTATAACAGACACAAAAATAAATATGCAGAAAATGAATCGTTATGATCGGAAGGAGTAGAAACGCAGAAATCCAGCATTATTGTTATTATTAAGATGCAAATTGAACAGGAATTTTATCTATTTATTAATTGTATTTTAACGGTATTGTTCTAACAAAACAAAAAAATCTCAATACAATTTGAATATTCTTTTTTGCTGTGTTACGGTAAGAAACACACCCACTAAAATCAGATCTCATGATACAGAGACATTTCTTGAGAGAAATAAGCTGCTCAATTTCTTCGTTTCTTAATATTTACTCCGAACTCTTCAGTTGTTTTTTTTTTTTAACTTGCTTAATTCCTACTAGAATTCTATTTTGCTACTTATTTTTTAACTTTTATACCTACAATTCTAATCTAATTATGTATTTAGATATTGTCGATAAAAATACAAAGAAACACCTGCAATCTTATTGGACCTGACTTGACATTTCGGCTTCAGTCACTTTCCCACCGCCGTCATGTAGCTTGTAGGGGAATAGGTTGTTTTTGATAATCACGTCGGCGGTACCAAAATGGTGTAAGTGGTTATTCACTCACATCATAGCATCAGAAATTAGCTTTGTCTTCACGGAGATAGAAGCATACTTGACAAGAAATAAAACATACACAAATAACAGAAAAAGCATGGTAAATTTTATGTTAATTTCATACAATTTATTTATATTTTTTGTGTGCATTGGTGTGTGTAATTTTTAGGTTACAATTATTTTATGGTACATGTGATAAAAGGGAGAATTTACTCCGTAGTATTACAGGCAGAAAGAAGTTGGATATATGTTGCTCGTACCAAAGTTTGCGGTGAAGAGACTGAATTTAATATCTTTTGGCCGGATGTCTTTATTGCCGGCAGGAACATTTTTGTTGCATGCTGGGAGAAATTTATTATTTTTAATTTTATTTAATTTATTTTAAACATGGTTTAAATATTATTGTTTTTATTTTATTTATAATTTTCATTATTATTATTATTATTATTATTATTATTATTTTATATTTTATTTATAGTAATAATAATACCCTTACGCGCTTCCCTGTGCTTTTTCTCTAAGTACTTTCATAGTAATTGTTCTGATAAACTTACCTCATATAATGCGTAGACTTTATGAATTTAAGCACAATACTAGACTGGCGACATGGTGTTCTCATTTTACAGCTGAAATGGTTAGATGTAACCGCAAGTTCTAAGCTAATATTTTCTTCTGTCGCACTTGATGCTTGTGGAACTCCCAGTCAAATTTGATCTTAAAAAAATTTAAATGCAGTGTCAATCGTTATCTACTATTTTCTTAATTCTTGTTCTTTTAATGTTCTCTCTCCTTAATAGCTTTTTTTTCTCATATTTTCTATCATTCAGTAACCCTTTGTCCCTTTGTGGCTTTATTGGGTTGAAATTATTATTTTTTTTAATTAATGGATTTCTTGTGTCTCTTTTGGGCACGCGCACATTCTAACAAGGTTACGCCCACTTTTTAAACAAACCAAAAAGTGTAAATTTATTTTTCAATGAATATGGTTGAAATTCAATTTCATTTGTTGCAAATACAGAAAATAAATAAACAGCGTTTCTTCTCTAAGAAGTTGTGCAATTATAGACAAATGATATTCCCATAATAAAAATGTCGACATTGTAATCTTGAGAGACATACATAATAACCATATTTTCTTTTATTCTCCCTTACTCTTATTCACTTTCTATTCTTAATCTACTTTTCTCGTGTGCTCTTTCACTTACTATTTTTGGCTCTCCCTTTCCTTCTCCTTTTCTCCCATTCTTCTTTCCTCTTTTTCTCCTATACTCTCTTTGAAATTCTCTTTTGTCTTCTTTTCTTTCGCTTTGTTTTACCTTCTTTCTCTCATTCTCTTTACTCTCATTCTCACTTTTATTTATTCTCTTATCCTCTCCTTTTGTCTTATGCTATTTTCTTTTATTCTTTCTTTTTCTCCCTCTATTTAACCTTACCATCTCTTCATCGTCATTCTTTGAATTATTTCTTTGTTACTCCATTTCTTGCTCACCTTCTTTTTTTCTTTTCTTCTTCGTCCATAATTCAATTCATTCTTCGCCATTTTTTATATTTATTCAGCATCGAATAAAGAGGAAAATGTATTCCGCAAAAGGACGACGTTTTTTTTCCTTTAATTAACATTCGATATCTAGATATTTATCAGGGATTTATCACTCAGACCGGGTGGTGACAGTAGACAGTAATATAGGGTGATGCGGGATTCAACATATAAATACGTTGAATCCCGCATTTTATATGTTTCTTGTATATTTGACATCGCAAACAATTTGGTGGGCTCGTGTCAGTTCAAAGGAAAAGCAACACATAGAATTTGAACAAAGAAATATAAACAAATATATTGAAAGGACATTTTACAAAAGGAAAAATGAGAAATGAAATTAATGTGAAGAGTTCAAAGCAAATTTCAGTGTCTGTAGATGCGTACTTTCATTTATGAGGAGCAAAATGAATACGTCTTTTCACTATAAAAAGTCGCCGAGAAAGAGGTGGATTATTTCAAAATTCCCGCCGCCTGTAATTAACGTCAGGGAGAAGTAATTTATGATCTTGCCTCCTGTGATTATTATCAGGGGGCGGTAATCCAAGTTTGGAGCACCAATTTGGGATAAAACTCATACAAATATGGATGGTTAGTTGATGTAAACCTATGTTATATTTAGCTTAGTAAAATAAAAATAAATAAATAAACGAACACTATAAACAGCATTAACAGTAAGAGAATCATTAACTATCGCAGTAATGGCCTTCAAAGCAAGTTTACTAATCAATGTATCACGGGGAGACACCCATAAAATTTAATCTGGTCCAAAGCCGTAGTAACGGACAAACTAGTGAGGATTGGATATGTTATCCGAGTGAATTAATCTGTTAGAATATTTTATTAATCTTCACTAATCGCATTTTTTTTTTATATTTCCACACTTCAACACTGATATATGACAATTTTTTGAAAGACTTGAAGTAACAGAAATATGGTTCTATAAAAGGATGCTGAGAATACCATAGATTGAACATGTAACTAAGAGGTTTTAAGAAAAATGGAAGCAAAAAAGATTCTTATACTTAGAATTAGAAAGAGACAGACGAAATTACTAGGACGCATAACGAGGAAAGCGGGCTTAGAAAATTCAACACATAAAGGACATATTGAAGGTAATAAGAAAAGAGCGATTAGCATACCTAACAATCTTGGCAGAGTAAGAAATTGAAGTGATGATGAAAAGACAAAGATTACTAAGAACTTGCAAATGATAGGAAGTTGTGGAGAGCCATGACCCCCATTCCTGAATGGATATGGCACGCCAAAATGAATATTTATCACTGAAAATGTGATATTAAAGTTTGAAGCATAATAATAAATTTAGAATAGAGAAAGCAAACTGAAAATACAAGATTACAGTCGATTTAATCTTGTGACTTCACATATCGTAGAAAAATGTTTTTTTTTATCCTTTTTGCTCTATTTTACTAATCAGACGTCTTATTGTGTAAGGTGTTTACTTTATTTTTCCTTTCTTAGTCTTTGCCTCTTTACCAACAAATCTAGTCATTCTTTCAATTAATACAGTTGAACAATAGATATACTTAAATTCAAAAGTTCAGTAAATAACGTCTAGCCATTATATGTCATGCTGTTTGGAAAATAATTACGTATTTTACCGCTTGATGAGTTAAGCAATGAAGGCCAAAACAAGTGTGGATGCTAGGGAATTGCATCTAGAATTAATATATCATACATTTTAACGAGAGTGTTTCGGTTGTAGTGCGTTTGGGAGTTAAAATCTGAAAAACGAAAGTTTGGTTCGCTATGGATTCCGTTTGAGAAACTAATACATGTTAATATCTGCAGCCATTGTTCTTTTAACCAAGAATGCTAAACTTTCAATTTTGTATTATATCGCTACAGGTGATGAAAAATAGGTTTTGTATATCAACAGAAAACGAAAAAAAAATAGTGGTTATAAGAAACTGAGAAACAAGTGCCAACAACAAATAGCAGGAAACCATTCACAAAAGATTTGGCTTTGTATCTTAGGAATAAGAAAAAGTATCGTCCATTAGTTAGTAGGGCACGGAATCACTATCTCTTCAGATGTTTATGGCTAGCAAATTTATTGGTTAAACGAAACATTACAACGAAGGTGTCTTGATTTTGTAAACAGAAAAGTTCTTAGCCGATGCAAGGGTCTACATTGCAAAACAACACAAACTTTCTGAACGTTAGGATGGGTGGTTTTACCATATTCTCTAGACTCCTCAGATTTAGCACTTACTGATTTTCATTTGGTTCGATTATTAGTACATTACTTAAACGGAAGAACATTTAGAAAGCAACCATTAGGAATTAAATCAAATTTTACTGAGATAACAGTAGAAAAGTGATATCTGTAGAGATCTTTCTAATAACAAGCACATTACCATTTGGCCCTGGTGTAGTGCAATAGTTGCGATACTGTCGCACGTGTCATAGATGAGCGGATTCAATCATTACTTTGTGCCCCAGACGAAACTAAACCCAGTAAATAACTATTTATTTCTACAGTATCACTTTACTTATGTCCTCGTTGTCATTTTCACTTCTGAAGTTTATCTCCATCTTGTTTTGCTTACACTCTTAAAATTTCTTAGGTCACTTTCATCATTGTTTACTGTTTCATTCTCCCACTCACTCGTTTTATTTTATTTTATTTATTTTCTTGGCATTACTTCTCCACTTATTCTCTCCTAGAGCTTTCAAAACTTTTTTTCATTCTTTCATTTTTTTTTTCATTCAGGCTTACGGCAATATCAAGTTGAAACACCAGTTTTCGTACGATTAGTTAAGTTAAGCAACGTCGAGTCTGGTCAGTACTTAAATGGGTGATCGCTTGGGAATACTAGGTGGTGTAAGCTTCGGTGTGCGATTAGTGTAATGAATACTAGCTCAGAACTAGCGATCAAAAAACCGAGTTCCAAATCCAGTAGGGTTCGATATATTCACTTACGCGAAAAATCCCCCTTGGGTAAAAGTATGAATCCACCACTCCCTCCAATATTGGGTTAATTAGTAGGACGTGTATCATTAAATCAATATTACCGCCAAAATATTCTTACAATCTAAAAATATTTTCCGCCTTGAAATAACCTGTAAAGTCTTATAAGCCACAAAAATCATTCATTTCTTTTAACCCAAACACTATCTTGTTGCTCTGCTTTTATTTTTCCCCATCAGATAAATTCTCTATGCATTCGATGATGAAACTTATCAAGAAGAAAAACTCTAATTTCAAAACCCGCCTGAAGGGGGGATAATCCCAGTCAGGTAATCTTACCGTAGAGACACCACTACTGCTACGGCTACAGTATATATGGTGATTCCATGACTCGTGTTTAGTCTACCACGACCATCTATACATAAGCAATTTCAAAAGTGACAACCCTTTTTATACTTTTGATTTAACATTCCTTTATATTCTCGGATTTGTATACACAACGTTTCGCTTGTCATGTGGCCATTAATGGGCAGTCTGTGCTGTTCTAACCTTTTTTTAACTTATTTCCCGCGATAATACCATTAAAATGCAATGGGTTACTGAGAGAGCAAGCCAAAGTGAAGTGGTTAGTAAGGAGGAAGGACAATAAAAGAACAAATGTTAGGAAAACTGTCTTTCGAGTAAGAGCTGTGACACATAGGAGAAACACAATTTCTTATTTCTTGCCCTGCCGACTGCACATTTGCCGAAGGATAAGATTCCTACCAATGTGTAATCCCTGGTATGATGATAAACTACATCCGGTAGCAAGGTCTCATGAGGAGACTGAAGATTTTGTAGAGCATGAAACCACCACTTAATTGCTGTTGTTCCGTGTTCCACCCTGACCAGGGGTGGTAGCACCTGTTAGGGTCCCAACTAAAGGCGAATATTGAACTCAAAAGTATAAATCAAAACAATAAGAAAGTATAAAAAATAATCATTTATAGAAAACACCAACAATAGAGTTTTATAGCAAAACGACAATAGATTTTATAGTAAAATTGAAGATATGCCATACACTGTCAAAAACATTTTCAAAACAAGTTATTTATTATGATTAATATTATTTATTGTAAGGAGAAACAAGTTTTCATTTCTTGTTAATTCTGTGAGATAATTTGGTTAAAAAAAAAGCAGCTGATTAATTAAAATGTAATCATGAAATAATGCCATTCCCTTGAATTAATTATAAAGTTTTAATTTTCATATTTATATTTCAGCATTATATAACCCATAGTGGTGTTGATATGCCGCTAAACGAAAACAACCCAAACCAATTTTCCTGCATAACTTTTCTCATTTGCGAGTAAAGATATAATATTGAAACACTTACTAGCTTTGCTTTTCAGAATCGGAGAGAAGGCAAATGACACATATCAGCACTTTGTTAGCATGTTCTCTTTGTATAAAATAAAAACTTCATTTACGTTCTTCTGTCTCCTCCCTAATCGTTTTTGTTTATTTTTTTTTCGTTTTTAATAATTGGATACATTTTTGTACCCAGCATATGTAACATTTAGGCAGCCAACATATATTCAATAAATGAAACAATACAAAAATAATCGTCAGTAAAATGCAACTGGCAAAAATAAAACAATATTACACTGAAAGGCGTGTATTCAAAACAATCTGTATAGAAAGTGCTCTTGAACATTACTAAGAGAAAATTCCTTAATATCTGACCATGCAAATAATCAAATTGTATAGAAATAAAAAAATAAACAAAAAAAATTTTATTTCGCACTCTTGAAATCGAAAACAAATTTTAATTAACTATTTAGTGTTTTTGAAAAGTAACATGTTTTCAAAGTCGGATATGAGTAAGCAAATAGTGTATCTAATTTTTACCATATCAACTACACTTAGTGTTTTTAATCTTACTCTAGGTTTCTGTGAACAAATTAGCGATAAGCCAACAAAGGACATCTGAACATCTTGTTGTGTTTTTGCAGTTTAAGTTTCCCGTTTAATGAGAACAGTCTGGTGAAAAGTACTTATACACATTACGGTATATCACATGCATATGTCCCTGTATTATAATCATATATATATATATATATATATATATATATATATATATATATATATATATATATATATATATATATATATATATATATATATATATATATATATATATATATATGTATGTATATATATATATATATATATATATATATATATATATATATATATATATGTGTGTGTGTGTGTGTGTGTGCAGATTTAAGTTTGTGTGTGTAGTTTTAAGTTTGTGTGAATTTTTACGTGCGTCCACGCACACATATACGTGTTTAACATGAAAGCAAGCAGAGACACGTGTAAAATAGATATTAGCAGTACAAAAAGTAAGAATTTCCTCTGTCGCTTATATAACTCTCTGTCATTTTCGAAATTACTTATATACATTAATATATCAATTTGTATATAGCCTTATATAGAGAGCTATGAGGAATTATTGGATATAGAAATCAACACTGCATCTTGATGATCAGTTCCATGCTTCACGCTTTTCTGTAGATTTCTATATTAATATTGTCTATATCAATAAACGCTCTAAATCCAATATAGGGAAGATTTTCCTCATAAATAGCTAGAAACTGAAAAGCTCATATGTCTGGGCGTTTGAACACGATAGCTCCGCGTCGGGCAGCGTGAGTGTTTCCCAATTTCTGCCCCAGCTCCCAGCAACTCTAGCATATCGTGCTTCATACTTAGTGTTAGAAAAACCTCGGTACAATACACATTCCCCCCGAGTCCGTTAAAAAATCCCAAGAGGAAATTGACTTTGTCTACTCCTCAACTAGCCAAGAAGGTAAGAGAAGGCCACTGATCTCGAAAATAATGCTGATTAAAGAGTATGAAGTAGGAAAGAGTGAATGCCATCGCACGTGACCGGAAGTTCTCTACTGGGACAACGATTTTGAAGGACAAAGAAAGAATTTGCAAAGCTACTCTGCACCTATGCGATTGATAGCTATAACAAAGCAAAGAAACGGACCCATCCACGAAATTTCTACATATGTAGATGGAAAATCAGATAACAAAAAGTTTCCGTTCAGTCTTTTTAACATGAAGATGAAGGAGATAAGTCTAATTCGGACTTCTAAAGAACGCGCTAGGAAAGACTACATTAGAGAATTTAACAAATATTAAACCTTTTGTACTGTAGTTTTTAACTTAAATCTGACGAACGTAAAAATAAGAAACAAAATTGCATAGGTATATGATAATAATATTAACAATCGTAAAGAAACCGTAAAAATTATAAAAAATACAACAATTCCTAAAGAAAGATATAAAGATTGCAAAATTAATTACGGACTGACTTACGAGCAGATAGTATTAGCTGAACTTAGTAGGACTTAGAAACAAAGGAATTCTAATTTGTATATATATACCAGTGAACGTAGGTTTGCGGTAAACTTGATTTCTACCCTAACCCTTCGGGAGTTGATGATTTGTTCTCAGTGTACCTTTGATCAGAAACTGGAGAAAATCCGTAGTATTTTCATTCATAACGGTTTTCCCATTGATGATTTTAGACGCACTATTGAACTGAAAATGAAACGTTTCAAGGAGCCAGTGGTTTTGGGTCCTTCTTTATGTCCCTTATATCTAAAACTAACATGGCTGGGTAGAAATAGTAGAAAGGTACCGTCGTGTCATTTTTGAGACCCTTTTGGTATTCCTCTTTTTCGTTACATAATAGTTCCGTAGAATATAGGTTTAAATATCAGTGCGATGATGTATACATAGGACGGACCAATCAGAGGCTGGAGACCCGTATTGGTCAAAACGTCCCTGCTAGAATAAGAGCAGGTAACTCTAGTCGATATTTTAGTACAACACAAGCAGTGCATTATTCAGCTTTTGGTCAGCACTTTCTAGATAATCTTGACTGTTTACATCAGTATACAGATGATTGTCTCATCATCTTGCATAGGGCTCGTTCTGCTCATCATTTGAATATTTTAGAAGCCGTGTACATTAAAATGGACCAACCGAGCCTATGCAAGCAAAACGAACAATTTACCAACTTTCTTAAGCTATTTGGAGGACGTGAGTATTTTTACTAATAAGTTGTTTTAGTCGAGTTCTGTAATTAACTTTCCCTCCATTTTCTACTATTAAGTTCTTGTGAATATCATCTCTTGTCTCATCTCAAATCACACCATCGAATCCTTCTGAAGAAGTTTTGATTGATAGAAATCTTCAGGGAATAATTAGAAAAATATAAAATAAAGTATATCTAAATTTCTTTTTAAAACAATATATTTTTTCTGTGGTATCAGATCATTATACACACACACACACACACACACACACACACACACACACACACACACACACACACACACACACACATATATATATATATATAATATAATATAATATAATATAATATAATATAAAAGGCTAAGATACGGATATTCCATGTTTATAATTTTTTCATTGGAATCGTAATCACGATCCAATTCATCAGACCTCCAAATTCAAAAAGGATCGTGATTATGATTCCAATGTAATAAATTATAACCTTGGAATATTAGTGTTTGAGCCATTTACATTATATTCTTGGTCTGTCTTGTACAATGACCTCTACCTGGATTCTATCCTCTTGGAAATATATATATATATATATATATATATATATATATATATATATATATATATGTGTGTGTGTTTGTGTGTGTGTGTGTATATATATATATATATATATTGATCACTAATATTATTAATATCTCTCTCCTCTCCTCTTTTCTCTCTCTCATATATCTATCTATCTATCTATCTATCTATATATATATATATATATATATATATGTGTGTGTGTGTTTGTGTGTGTATATATATATATATATATATATATATA